TACTTAAAAAACACTTGATTTTCAAGTGTGCCATTGATGCTGTTGCTATCCTCTACTGCCCTGCTGTGCAAAGCACAAAGAAAATGAAGAGGCTGTTGCAGCAAAATTAAATTAACACTGTTAGGTCCAGGGTTAGGTCTGATGCTAGCCTTATGCGCTTTAGAGAAATTTAAAAAATGACATTTTTGGAATAAATGTCAATAGTTTTTGTGTGTCACTTAGTGCTCTATGATTGCCAAGGCAAAAAGGATATATTTTGATACCACAAGGTTAGACTTTAGGCATGTTAGAGTTGCAGTTGGGTTGCAGTTTAGAAGTTGCGATTATGATTTGTCAGAGGTATTTCTTTTAATATTCACAATATATCAAAAATGCATTTTGAATTTCTCTTTGATATTTGGGCTGATTGGGGCCCAATGAATGTAAAAACAAAGAATTACCAGATTTTTTTTTCACCTTATTTTTGTTTTTAAGAAAAATAAGAGCCACAAATGAGGATACTCATTTAAAATTTTGATAGAACAGTGGCAGTATAATGTCCTCGTCAGTGGATATCAGGCCCTTGTAGAGCAAAATTGAGTATTTTGGTCTAAATAACCCAAAATGTGATGTCCACATATGTGGATGCCAGGTCCTAGGCGGATAATAATTCCTTTTTTAAACAAGCAAGTAGGTGTGAGTAATTATGCTATGAAGTGAAAGGCAGACGCCAGTGTTTACTAAAAAATGTAAGCTTGAGAAAGAACAGCTGCTATTTCATGGTGGGCCAGATGCACAGATGATATGATTAAGGACCTGCTCTCAATCACGTACCTCTCACTGTTCACACAGAGTCAGATCTCTATCTGTGCATGATACATATACATGATTACCTCAACACAAAGACGGGAGCAATTTTGTTCAAACCTTTTTGTTGTGTTTGATGTTGGTGTTCTGTTGAGTGGGACGTTTCACTCAGCTTGTTCACTTATATTACCAAATACAGACTACGGTATTTTTTTTCTCCTGTCTGTCATGGTGCCTAGTCTTGTAGGTGGCCTTGCTTTTAATTGTCAGTGCTGAGATTTCTCTGACTGAAATTCTAGTTTCAGAACAATTTAAGTACTGAATAGATTTTTTAAATTTGATTTCGTTCATCTTAAAGTTAAAAAATGCAAGGTAATTAGTCTGTGACGTAACACAAAGGACACATTTTTCAATAGACAGAGTTCGAAAGTTCAGTAAATACTAGAACTTATCATTTTTGCCCTTTTTAATTTGGAAGAAATAACTCTTTAGCAGAGCTTGTGTAACAAAGTATTTCAGCTAACACTGCATGTCACAGAGAACCACATCTGCTTCTTTGGGATGTTTTATATGTGAATGAAGGCTATTATGTATATGACAATATATGAGAAAAATGGAATATATGTTAAAAAAAAAAATTCATATGTGAGTCAGTCCTATATGCTGCAGATATATGTCCCTTGATTACTTATTAGGAAAGTTCTGTTTTTTTCTTTTTCACGCACAGCTTATATTTTCTAGTTTCTGCACCGGGAGCAGAACATGATATGTGATCAGCGGAGAGGCTCAAACTGTTTGCATGCAGTAAAAGAGGGGACAGTGAACCCAGCCTGCTCTTCTTTACCTCTCCTCATGCAATCTCAGCACAGCCAATTATCAAGATGAACTTGCAATTGATCTTATTGCACAAAGGCCCACGGCAGTTAGCAAATCTTATTCTATTTCTTCATGCAGTCTGAAATATTTACTAAGAACACTTTTAATCCCTCAAGTCTGAAGCCTATTGATTACAGGAGGCAGATACATTCAAGCAAAGACCACAATCAATCAACACAGCTGTGTGCGGACGATATAAAAGTCTTTAATTGTTGATAATTCAATCAGAAAATTGTGGATTTGTTGCACAGAGGCAGTCACATTTTTTTAATCTTCAGCATCATTGATAGATTAGGTTTAGAAAGGAGTGATGAGTAAATATTATTTTTGCGTGAAAGACAGACATGATAAATATCCCATAAAATGTTTTTTAAGCATAGAACATCATTGAACAACCCAAGAACCTCACTTATTACCTCTTGATTCATAAAATTTTACAGTGGTCAAAACCATGAAGTGACATTGGTGGGGGGGGGTGGAGGGTTTTCTATGACTACTTTAGGTCTTTTCTAGTGTTGGAATAAATAAATTATTTAACAGCTACTTTGACTCCAGGTGGTGTCCAGAATTTTCAGCATCATTATACAACTAAACCGTAAGAATTTTATTTAATACACAAAAGGAATAGTATTACAGTTTGAAGAAAGGCATTTCATTCCTTTCTTGCTTGTATCAACAGACGTGTCCTTTTAAATCTTACTTTTGATGTTACGTGTTAAATGGTGACCTTTAAAGATAGGCTGTTTCCAAAGTTTACGCTAAGCTAACAGGTTGCTGGTAGCTAGCTTTGCTTAGCATTTAACATCCATAGCAGTTCCTCCCCCCAAAAATCTTCTATAAGCACAGCCCACCCCTACTACATTCAACACGCTGTACTGCAGCAACTACAGCAGCATTTTAATGTAGAGGACATCAGACGGTTATATTCATCCACATTCTGCCCCCTTGTCCCTGTTAAGCTAACTGAATAGGGCAAAGGCAGTGACATTCATCATATACAGGAGGAACAACCATAAAGGGCAACGTGAGGCTGATAGAAGAGGGAGAGGCAGGCAGCACAACACGCTGTAAAAGCCAAAGGCCACCGGTGGGGACAGCAGTAGGGAAAAAATGTAGACATCAAAGAAAAGGGACAGCAAAAATGCAACGTCTCAGGTGGGTTTGCTGATCAAATTTGTGATCTGGCACTGTAGGCACACTTCAGCTCCTTTTATTATTTGCCATTAACTACAAAGTACATGAAGCAGCTCTTTGTATCTGCAGTATAATCTGTCTCTACAACAGGTGAACAATGCACACACTGCAACAATGTGAGTAGACAAATGGCTCGCAATTAAAAGACACTACACGAAATCCCTTGGTATCAGCTCGACTGATAACTGGCGACGCAGCTTGGCAGCTAGTGGGCGTCGATGTGAAGCGCCACCCGCAAGAAAAACTGATCAAACAGTAAACAGTAAGCTTGTGTCCTGGCAGGGTGAAACAACTCCTCATTTTTATGAGGCTGGTCAGTTCAGGCCGTCAGAGCTACACAGACAGGCGTATAAAGAGCTTTGTGTAGCTCAGACAGAACATCTCTTGAATCTCAAGTGTTTAAAGTTGGCCTATTTCCACCCTCCCCTAAAGTCTTGGTCAGTGGAAGATGTTGTACATTCATTAGAGGAGAGAACTGTCAAGAGTCTGGCTGACAAATGACCTTAGACCTTAATGCGCGACCAGCTGTAATGTGTTTTGTCTTTTCTGGGAACATCGTAGTGCTTGATGAGGTTTTACTGTTAAAGTATAAGGCTGATTATATTGTGTATTTTTTTCTCGAGGTCAACAAACTTCACAAATGGACCGATCCCAACAACGAATTGATCTACTAATGCACCATCTATTAGAATTAATTTGTTCCTGCAATGCCCAAGTTCTTTAAAAAGAAATCTCTTAACAATATGGTGGAGAAACACATAGACCCTGCCTACACTTGATTATAAATTGCACCTTCTGCGATCAAATTACACACGGACAGTGCTAAAGATAAAGAACAATCAATATCATGCAATCTGATCCACTTACTCAAAGCGCTTTCTGTGTTGGTTTGAGCCACATATTTATTGTAAGGTCAATGCTTTCATTTTCTGAATTGCCTAAAACAAGAAACAACCTGGAAAATTGTTATGAAGCATTGTCCTTGTTGCAGACAGAACATTTCCTTCATTTTGTCTCACAAATTACAATATCAATAGCCGGAATAACTCGTACACAAATATTAGTTCTTGTTCTCTTTGCTAACCTAAAGTAAATCTGGCACTTGAGTGGGAATGAAACATCTGTGTTCAACAGTAGCAAAGACAGCTGGAGACACATGATTGTCACAGATTCGCAGATATAAAACAGCAATGTGTCTCTGTAGTCCAATCTTGATCCAATCGCCTGAGAAGCATTTTAGCATTAAGTGTGAACAGGGTCGCAGAGTTTATCTCAACCTTAGAGTGGACTGAGCAAAGCCTAAGTTAGACACAAGAATCTTTGATTTCATTTTTTTTTCCATTAGGACTTGTTGACAGTCTAAAAAAATACATAATAACACATTTCATATAAAGATAACAAAAAGCAAACAAACATAAAACAACTATGCTTATACAGTATAAAGGAGAATTATAATAAATTCAATGGAGTTGCTACAACGGCAGTTTCACAAAAGAGAAAAGAATTCACTTTTTTGGGCAGCTGTCTCTATTCTTCACATTTTTTTGTTATTTTTATTTTTATTTTTTTTTGCAAATGAATATGAAATATTAAGACGTGTTTTTTTTCTCTTTTTTCAGTTGAGTGTAACATACATGGATGTTGTGAGATTTGAAGAAACTGTGTCAGTTCTACATCTGGAGCGAAATTATTATAAGAATTATGTGAATGAGACAAAGGCAGTATAAACAGGGGGAACAGGAAAATACAATCCTGCAGACAATTGAGAAGGACGCAAAGAGAGAGAGAGAGAGACGGGTGGACGGGGAGAGCTCCTCTAAGTATCATGACTCATATGCTGTGGTTACATAATCAGTCTGGGGCCAAGATAAGTGATAACATCAGGTACGACCTGCCTGCTGCACTCGGGACATTTAGGAACATCATCTGTGAAACCCTCGACTTGACTCGTCGCTGTTATTAACATTTAGAGCCATTGTTAAAATCAGTGTCATTTCAGACTTTTCTGTTGCAGCAGCAGGACCCTGATTGCAATCAGCACTATTTTCAACAACACTGAGATGTTCCATTATTATACATTAACAGGAATGTGTTTGCTGCTGTTGTGTGTGTGTGTGTGTGTGTGTGTGTGTGTGTGTGTGTGTGTGTGTGTGTGTGTGTGAGTGAGTGAAACTCTGGTTTATCTCTGTCTCTCTATAACTCTGTCCCTGCCACACAATGAATCATTGATGGTGTTTTAGAGAAATAACTGAGCAGTGATTATTATTGCAGAGGGCTGTTGGGAGTGTGTCAGCCCCCACCCAGTTATTTAGTAAGTTGGCTGGATCATCTGTCTCCTCCTGAGAAAGAGAAATTTCCAGTGAATTGACCGAGAAATCCAGATGACTGTTGATAAGTCCGGTGCCGCTGTCCATAGCTGCTAGTCCCAGATTGAGTGCTTTCCTAGTATTTGCAAAGTAAAGGGCGATGATACAATCCCTTTGCAGGCCTCTGATGTGCACCTCTGTTTCACTTTGCCACCCATTACTCTGTGAGGGAACATCCCCCCAGCCCCTGCAGGCCGTCCACATCTTCGTAGAGTACTAGTGCCTGAGACTTTATTCAGTCTGTGGTGGGGCAGAATCAGAGGGCTTACATGCTCTTTGCTTGTAATGTGACTGTTTGTACGTAAATTAATATGCAGGATCCTGTCGAGATGAGAGAAAAAAATGGAGTCAGCGGCCTTCACATGAGTCTTTTGCACTGAATAAGCAATGTTAAAAGCCGAACAAACAGGCTTCATATTTCAGGTACCTCTTGTGCGTTTCCTTGAATGGTTGCTAGTCTGCAAGAAGGAAGAAACAACTGAGTCAGTGTTCAGATATTTATAGGACAATTATTTGACAAAAAATTTTTTATTCTTCTCTGGTGTTTTTGTCTCACAGTCAAGACTGTGTTGAAAAACACCCACACATTCCACCCAGCAGTTTGAACATCTTGGCTTCAATAAAAACAAGAGCCAATACTTCTCATGCCAGAGGATACAAAACTGAATCAATCCATTATTATATTTAACCTCAATGAGCACAAGGACATGTATGCGAGAAGAAAGCCCTCAGGGCCGCAAAACGCAAGAGCGATGTGAGTTTACTCTAAACTCTTAATTCAGGAGGCATGGCAGTTTATCACTTATATTTCTCCATCAGAAAGTCATTTACATACATAAAGACGTTTTACTTTGTAAACAGAGAAAATGAATAACATTTAAAATATGCACAAAAATGTGGCTCTCTGTAAAGCCCATGTTGATTAAAAATAAAATTTTTGGACAGAATAATTGTCGTCAACTATATTTAACTTTGCAAAAACCAACACCCTACTGAGAATAGCAAAGTAAATGTTTCTCATTAATATTCAGTAAAAATAAAGGTCAAATAAAACCAAAGACGCTGCTGGCAACATGGTTCCACGTGGTGGCGTGGTTTCATGTGGTGAGATGCCTGAGAGGCTGCCAGATGTCAGCGGTATAACAGTTCACTGTTCGCCACACCGAGTTCTGCTTCTAAATGTGAGAGATTCGTGTACGTAATGCGTGCTGCAGTTCACCTTTACGTGTAGCTTTGGACTGGCTGGCAGCCACAGTCGTTAGGTCTGCTGGCAGACCTACATACACACCACCATAGTTCCTGAGAGGAGAGAGGAGGAGAGGTTTTAAAGACCAAGTAGCAATTAAAAACCATAGATGGCATTGATTTTTGTTTTAGTGGATGTTTTTAATAGCATTACCAGTATCCCATCAAACTTACAGACCTCTAAATGAAATTCATTTATCATTTTATTCATTTATTTTTTGAGTTATTGTTCATTTACTTGTTTAAACCTTGCACTTTATTATGAGAATGCTGCAAAACAAACTATTTGACATTTTTGCGATCAAAAATTTCAAGTATATTTCATTTCAAGTATAGCCGTCTTAGCAAAGTGCACTCAAGGGCGCTGCAAAGTACCTTCTTTTCTCATCTTCTGCTGAGGGATCTTCTGTCCTGATTGAGAGAATGGGCACAGGTCAGGTCATATGGGAGCAGAGAGGAAATAAAAAAAAATCACAAATATACAAAATAGAGAGAAAGTGCAAACATTGTTCTTTTGCTTAGCCTCAGAAATCTTCAGTATGCTGCTCAAGCCCTGTAGGGAATACTTCTCTGTCAGGAACTTCTATAGACCAAACCTCCAGTTTTATTTCAGGCCTGCTGAACAACAAACTTAAAGTGGTCTCAGGTTTGATGTGGTGGCTGATCATTAAGATCAAACATGGTAACAACATGAAGCCGATGTGAAGGTTTATTCACTGTGTGCACTATCCCTATGCAAGCCAAGCTGTATCACACTTTTCAGTTTTGTGAGTATATTATTCCCTTAACATTGTGTCTTGCTCTGTGAGTGTGTGTGCATGAGCTTTTGTGTGGTAGTTTGCTGTGTAGTACAGACATAGATAGCTGTGATTAGCTTCACTGAGTCAGTGCTTTACTGTCAGCTCTCATGGGTCCTGTGCTGGCTGTTCAGATGGTTATGAAGGGGAATACACACACTTACGCACACAAACACAAACTACAATAAAGCACAAACACACATACACAGTGTTTCCAGGAAATGCTTTGGAAAAAGCTGCCCCTCCCAAAGCTTTTTACTGTATTCTAGATAGCAAAGGAAAGTATATCTTCTGTATTTCAATTAGAATAAAAAAAAAAGAAGAAAAAACAAAGAACAGAACACAAAACTATTTGGGAGCCAAAATAAATTATTTTTAACCAAAAGTATATACAACAAAAGCAGAGTGGTTAGTCTGAAATTAAAATATTTCTGTCACTGTCAACTGGGACAATCCACTACGCAGGAGTATTAGGGCCACATTAGAGGGAAAAATCATTTTAAGAATAAAGTCGTAATTCTATTTTGAGAAAAAAAGTCCAGATTACAGTTATTGTTTGACGACAAACTGTCAAATGTGCTATAAACCTCTACAAAATGCCTTGTGTAAATGACCTAATGAAACAAACTGATCAGCTGTCTTGTGATACAACGTGCATCCTCTTTATTGCACAACGGTGTAACCAACCATACTTTACATTATGCTGCCTAAGATTTTGTTAACTGTTCATCTTTGACTGTAAGAGGAACCCACACAAAAACAGGGAGAACATGTGAAGTCAACACAAAAGGCTCCAGCCAGATGGCAGAGTCGGTCTCAGGACCTTATTGTTGTGAGACAACATTGCTAACTACCACACCACTGTGGTGCCCAACTTCACATGTCACATGTAAATTTCCAAAGGTTGATTCTGTTCATCTGGACGTAACGTTTTCAGTGGGAGACACGCTTTGTCACTCATCCAAGTGACTTCTTCAGTCCCAGCTGACTGCAGGGTTCCCTAATCTTATAAACAGTCAGCTGAGACTGAAGAAGTCACTTGGATGAGTGACAAAGCGTGTCTCCCACTGAAAACGCTACGTCCAGATGAACAGAATCAACCTTTGGAAATTTTCTTACCTGTAAGATTGAGCATGCATCAAGACACATGTAAATTAAAAAATGTTAACAATGATGATCTTTACTGTCAAACCCTTGCATATTTACCATTGTTAAATGACCCTAAGTGTCAGTGTTAATATACAGCATTGAGGTATAAAGCTAATTTTGTACTGTGTAAAATTTGATGCAAACCTTCAAGGCCTGGAGCCTGCAGAGTTTTAGAAATACTTTAAATAATTAGAAAATGGCTTAAGTACTTACACATCTTTGGAGGCTTCTGCTGGCCCTGAGAACAGATGACAAGCCAGAAGTTAATTTCATTCCATTATGAAATGTACAAGTGGTCAAAGCAGGTGTGTTTCACCAAACTGATAATTAATTTCTTTGCATTTACGATCAGTGAACTGCACAGCAGGTTTTTAATCTACAGTCACTGAATGTGAGCTACACACTCACTGAGCACTTTATTAGGAACACCTATGCACCAGCGTCATTCATACATCATTCTCCAATCTGTCAGTCTTGCTGCAAGAGTGCAGTGCAATGTCTCAAGGGTAAAAATCCATGCACCCAATGTGCTACAATGTATTGATTCCTTTATGCTCCCATAAAGTATGACAGAACACCACATCACAAACATTGTCTCACACTGGTCTCATGACAAGTCTGGTGGACCTGAGAGTATCTCAAGTCAGCAGATCTGCATTCAGCATAACACTGCTAATAAGTCCAGTAGCACAAAGGGAGCATGAATGTGCAGCTGACGATTCTACAAGAGTGATGTAATGCAAATATGTCATTCGAGGAATCCACGCCACAAAGAATAGAGGCTGTTTTGTGAGCAAAACAAGGCCTTGCCTAGTATACTGGCAACTATATTTTTAGATACTTCAATGTGCATAAATAATGCCTACACTACTTCTGTATCTGCCACACTTATCAGACTTACCTTACAAAAATTCAACACTTTATTGGCTTCTTTAATTGCTAGGGTGACGAAAGAACGAACCCCTCCCAGCGTAATTTTCACGTGCGGTTTCGACAAACGTGAAATTCAACCAGGCATTACAATTGTTATTTGTTGAAGCTGAATGAACTGTTAACCAAAACCACAACTTCTGCCAACTATATTCAAAATGCTTTTGTTGCTTAAACTCAAGTAAACACTGCTGACTACCTAACTGCAATTCCCCTCAGTCACAGCAGATGCATTTCCTGTACTGAGAAATGTTGCTGCTGAACAACAGGATGGACCCAATTTAGTGCACCCTGCAGTGACTATGATACAGGATTTACAGAGACGTGGTCATTTTCGGAAATGCTTGAAAAAAAAAAAAAAACACACACACACACACACTCAACTCATATCTGTCCATTAAAATAAAAAGCTGCACGATACAGAAGGTACTTAGCTTCATGCAAGGTGAGACAGTTTATTTGTTTGTTTGCTAGTTTTTAAAGGCAACAAAATCCACCTAATTAAAATGTCTAATGTCCAATAATGAACTCAATAAATACAATTTCTTTATAATGTTAATAATTGCACATTTTAATTAGGTGGATTTAATTATCCCAGCCTTTATTTTAAACTAGATTTAGTCTAGTCTAAATTTTGCAAATGAGACAACCTTTTAAGGGACAAGAGACGTTTTTATTTAAAGTCGTTATTTGTTATCAGATGCTTTTAATTTTTTCACTGCATTTCAAAAGGTAATATTTGATATTCATTTCTAAAGCCTTAGAACATTTTTCAGCAGCTAACATTTTACAGATCACACATTAAACCTTATACGCAATGTACAACGTTTAAGTACTGGGACAATAACATATATCCAGGAAATGATAGGATATCTTGGAAACACCTGGTTGGAGGTGTGTTAAATCTGGGATACAAGGATCAACTGATTAGAATCTGGTGGTCAAAGATCCTCACTCAACATATTTTTGACTTCCACTCAAATTCATATGCAAATTGTGACAAATAGAAATGCCTAATATGATCAAATAGAGGTGATGACCGGTGAACTTCTGTGACCTTATAATGTTCTGTAAAAATGCTTTTCTGGCCATTACTCAGGACCATAATTCAGCAACAGAAGATGTGATATTGGCCTTATTTCACATTTAGTCGGATACTGAATTGGTGACACTAATCTTTGGTGCTCACAATAATATTCACAACATCACTGCAAGCTGGTGTTTTATTTATGTACTTACTGAAATCTTTTTGTGGAGGTAGTTGCACACCACCTCAAAGACTTAGTGACCAAAGTTATAACTAATGCTGGATTTATTCATTCATTTTTTATAACGGCAAATACACAGCATGAACATTCCCAATTTAACAGCATTTACAGCCTATGTTTGAGATGCCTGTGATTCTCATAGCCTTTAAATGAGCTGCTCCAGAAACCAGTTTGGGATGATCTGAGCTTTGTGACATGGCACGTTTACCGGTTGATAACAACCATCGTGATGACTTGATCTACAAAGAGGAACATATTGTAAAATAACTTTGGACATACACTGTATGATGCCTCAGTTGCAGATACCCACTGAGCTCATCTCCATGCTGTTTGACTCTTTTATGGACCGACAACACTTTGTGCTTTGCCAAACTGCAGGCAGTCAACTGAGCTTGATTTGAATTGTAATAACATCATAATGCATTCTGCAGGAGGATAATCGGACTTTTTTCTTGAATGTACAGTCGCACTTTGACAACAGCGGTGGAACAAAAGCCTCAGTTGCGTCCTCCAATTGCTTTTTCATGTTATACCTTATTTTATAAGAGTAGAAATGTACCTTGAAAAGAACACCACAAGAATCACTTGCAATAGTAGAAAATTGGATAATCTACATTACACACAAATAGGCAACAGCACATTTTATCCTCGTAGAGGGAATGCTGACATGACACAGGGGCCTATTCAGTGGCCTGACAAAAGCTCATTCATATCCAAGGCAGCACATCAGGGTGCATAAGACTAGGGACAGGCAATGTGATATAGAACCACTAAAGCCGTCATTTTGAGTTTTGTAAGCAAAATAACAGCTGCACATCAGAGTTCTTAAACTTTATACCTGAAAATGTGCATTTGTAGGTTTGACGTTGTCCCTCACTAAAATCAAAGCAAAGCAAAGTTAATTTTATTGAACTTAATGTTCTCTGTGATGAATACTTGCAGGCTAACGTTCCAGTTACAGGTATATGTGTGTATATATGCAACTTATCACTAACAGAACAAATTATAGGGACAAAATAATTGTTCATAGATTGAAATAATAGGAAATGTAAACAAGAAATGCTTTTATCTTTATTTACAGAAAGCGAAACACTTGATTCTGACCTGGTGTCAGCCTCTATGGACAAATGAGTACAGCCACTAGTCGAAATTGCTAGTGTACTGATTAGGTACCTGCAAACACACACGCACATTTGCAGAAGCACAAACACACACCGTGCTTTAATAGGTAGTGGTGGGTGAGGTAATCCTGCAGATACTTCAGGAAAATAGTTACCTCAATTTGACTCTGGAGCCCAGAGATTTACTTCGCAAAACTTGAAACATGTCTAAAATCAGCCTACATCGACTAAGAAAGGTGTTTTATGAGGAAAATAACAAACGGAAAAGCACGATAGCCCAGTGAGAGTTGGTAAAATCACACGATACAGGATTTTTTTTTTCCATTCAAATATGTCCTCCAGGCTTTATGAATGAACCTGGCTGTTGATTAGGCATTTTTAGTGCCGCCTGCTTATAGGGCACAACCAACATCAGTCAAGCGGGAAGACAAAGATGGATGGATGTCAGTGAAATTGCTTGTCTTCCATCCTCAGTGAACCCTTTCAAACAAGCACTAAGATGCTAAGAGAGAAGCTGCACACTTAGATGTTAACGCCACATTTATGGTGTCAGGAGCCGCGATCTGCATCAAAGCGGCGCATTCTTCAGACCCAGGTGCCTCAGACGTGGGAGATCCTTCGTGATCGATCTGCCACCCATGGCTTCGAGAGACCACCACGGGCATACACACACACAACCCCGCCCCCAAACAAACACACACACACACATTCTTTTAAACGCAAGGGCAACCCCGACACACTTCATTGACATTCAAGACATCTTCTCCCATCGCTGCAGATACAGTGGCAACTCTTTCTTTCAAACCCCTCCAACCCCCTCGCCCACCTCACACACACACACGCTCACCCAGTATCGCACACACAAACGGATGTACACAGAGATTCCTGAAACACTCACCCCCTCCTGTGGTGCTGGTGGCTGAGGAATTGCCACAACCCATTTTGCATCGATGCAGCCACCGTCCAAGCTGAGCGGACACGTTTAATGAGTGGATGGACGGGGAGGACAGGAGGGGAATGTACAACACATTGGGAGAAGAGGGGAAAGTGGGCAGGAGAGGTGACAGAGGCACAAAGGGAGGGAAGGTCAAAGGAAATGCCTAGCAGGGACCTCCATTGGTTGTATCCCCTCCCCTGTCTTCAACCCTTGCGCCTGCCTAATGCGATGCAATGAAGAGCTCAGAGTGAAGTGACAGCATGGCGAGAGAGGCTTTTATACACACACACCACACTCACTGACAAGAGAGAACGAGGGAGAGGGGGGAATGAGGGGGGAGAGAGAGAGAAAGATGCTTTACCCTCACATGATTTGCTCTTTTCCTCCACCCTGACAAGGTTGCCCGGGAAACCAGGGGAAAAGGGGCGGAGGGTGGAGTGAGAGCCAACCAATAAGGAGCTTCCTTTATATATAAAGGTGTAAAATAAAAAACTGGAATACATTGAATGGCATCAATATATCAGCATGTTTGTGTGGCATACTGTAAAATTCCCAAAGTGCTCTGTGTATGCTAAAATATAGAGAAGCAATACTTGTGCTTTTTTTACAGAGGCGACACACACGTTCATGCTCACTCGTGACCTAAAGCTTATATACTTGAGCTGCTGGCAATCAGTGAGAATGAGAATATGGAAAAACCTTGGACAGTGAACAAGTGGAACCACAAAGGGTCGTGCATAGGCCTCTTTATAGCCCCGAGTGATTCTCAGAGCATCTCTGTTCTTCATTTCACTCACGATGTATGCGCTTAAAATGCAAGAACAGTCACATGAGTAGAGTATGATGGCAAGAAGCATTACATTAGCACTCTGCACCAGTCAAACCAATTCACACTTTCTGTTAGCGGTGTTATCTATATTATAATGGGAGTCGAGATGTTTAAAATTCAAATGAGAAGTTCCCAGAGGAAAAAAAAGACATCATGAATTCCCTTTCTGTTTTATGCTAGATGGACTCATTTCCAAAGGCCCTTAAACAGGCCTGAGATGCTTCTTATGTGTAGATGAATTGATGTGTGAGACTAATTTTATTCAAATTTCTCATATACAATTACAGGTGTCTAGAACAATAAGAAGACTTTGTGTGGAGTAAAGTCAGTCTTAAACTGTTGTGCACAATCCATTGCAATCTGAAGTAAAATACATTATAGGAAAAATGCTTTTTTGCCTCATGCTTGCTTTTCATGTGCGCTGTGAGAGGACTGATGACACTGCCATCTGTCAGTTCATTGTAAAACTGGCAGCTGGTTAGCTTAACACACTGACTGAAAACGGGAGGAAACAACTATACTGGGGCTCTATCCAAAAGTGGGCTGCAAAAATCAGCTTTGGACCTGATTCACCTCCTTACACAGCAAGAGCTGATAGCGTTTGTGAGGACGCAGGGCGTAAGAGATCCCGGGGAAGTCAGCGGTCACTTGGAATGGTTTGCTGCTACCACAATGAAGGAGTGCAGAATGCCACGGAGCCCCCCCACAGCAGCTTCCACCTGCTTGGATGTACTTCCAAGCTTTGGTGAGCTACTATCAGTTGCAGCTCAGATTGTGCTAATGAACAACTTTTCTCTCTAAAAGATCATCTTTCTGTACCTGTCACTGTTAGCCACCCACACAGAGAATCATAAAAAAGTGACCTTGAGTGGTAAAGCATCTGCATGAAATTCACCACATCCAGTCTTTGTGGCACACAAGAGCAGGACAGAAGGCACATTTTAAACGTCTGGGGGTGAACTGTCAGAAAAGGTCTCAACACAATCTGATCAAGAGATCATCATGGATGGTTGACCTTAGGCCATGTAAATAAGTAAGCATTGTCTAGTTATATTGCAGTGTTCAAGATCAAAAGTCACAAAATAAGACATAACAATTAAAACAGTATAAACTGATTAAACTAATTAAAGGTGATTGCGGGCAGGTGGGTCCTAATCTCCTCTTGTCTTTAACTTAGATCTAGGTGCAGCCAGCAAGCTGATCTCAGAGACCTAGCAATTGCATGTGGATGATGTAGAAGAAATAAATAAATCCAAATCCAGGACATCTGATTATGAAGCGTTCTAAATGTGATAACCAAAACTGAACCCTAAATTTTACCAGCATGAAGAAGATCAAATCGGCGTCACAATGGACCTTATAGAGGACCCGGTGAGTAGTTTCGTAGTAACATTGAGAACCGATTCAGGAATAATTTCCTCAGGCAAAGCAATAATGAATTACATTAATCGAGGTGTGAGAAACAAAAGAATAAACGGCCATTTCCAAATCACACTGAGACACAATATATGTGTCAATCAGTGAGACACAATATATATTAACACCCAGGCATTAGCTAAGCAATCTGCTTTCTTAACAGCTGTTTTAAATGTATATCGTTAGCTTCATAGCATAAGTGCCTAAGTCATTTTTTGGTCAAATTGAGATTTTTGCCTAACTTTACTCCCCTACCACTGCTGCATCATCCTGTCCGTCTGCCTATGTCATCACAAAAAAATGACTTAGGCACTTATGCTATGAAGCTAACGATATGAAAGGATCTATATGACTAGTCTGTGGGATTATATGGTTACTGGGCAGAGGTACGAGTTGAAAGCAGAAGATCTTCTGGATAAAAATGCGTCAGTATTTCAAAAGATGTCTGTCATCCCCTTTATGTTCGTAGAAGAAGTTCTAAAAGTTTTGGTGCTCGTCTGACTTTTGCTTTGGCACCTTGACAAGGTTTATAACTGCATTATGTGTGAGAGAGGTTGACAGAGGGATAGTGATCACATTTACCTCATGAACATGAGTGTAATTATTTTATATCAACAAGACTGAGATATTCTCAGTCTATTTTGCATTTACACTTTGTACTTAGCACTATTTAGGAACTGTTAGAAGGCTAACATGCTAAAATTAGAATGACTTAGTATGACTTTTAAGGTATGTTTTGACTAGGTGGGCTTTACTTTAGCCCTAGAAAAGCAAAAATTATTAACTGTACGCCAGATAATCAGTGGCAATGCAGCTTGCTCCTTTCAGGGTGGTCTTTGGTTAGCTGAATCACTCTTTCATTTAAAAGAGGCTATCCAGACATTATCCATTGCTGTTTTACCAGACTTCAAGCATAGTTCATTATCAAAGTTAGAGCTGAAAAGCTATGTCTGATTTACAGCCACAACTACACCAATTAAACAAGGCAAGTCCACTGGGGAGCGAAGAATGATCTCCCACTCAGGCTGCCTGGAAGCTTGATGAAGAGGCTGTGCTTGTCACAGCTTGCCTAGATTATCGAGACACAACACAACATGACATGGCCATCCTAACAAGTCAACAAGACAGTTATTCACATTGGAAAAAAATGTAAAATACTACATGAGTACATATTACATGCTGTCTTCTTACTGTGCCACAGCCTAATATAGCTGGATTTGTTTTAGGTTTTTAAGTTTTAGGGCTGATGTTAATACGGATTTTTACAGAGAGAAAAAAAAAATAGTGAGTACTCTCATATTCATTATATCAAAGTTATATAAAGGTTTAACTTTGCAAAGGTTTATTTCTCAAACTACCTGTTAGGACAAAACAGTACATATGTTTTAGTTGTTTTTGTTTTACTTTGTATAGCCTTTTGCAGTAAGTGCGATTTAATTAGAGAGCCAGAAACTCAGCACATCACATGCTCAGCCAATTTGTCAGTTGCGATTGATGCAAATCAAGACAAGAGCTTCTGGTCCTGATTACTTACCAGACTAAAATGTAATTTTAAAAGGTTTGTGCAACTTATCACCATCCATCGGTCTACATCCATTTATCTCTCAATAAATACTAACTGCTGCCTCATATCAATCAATAATCTTTTTGTTTTGTGCTTGTTTTTTGTTGTTTCACAAAGTAAAGGAACATTTTATTTTGTCATGAGTGGAGTGAGCTTTTCCAGGGTAATAGTGCCACTAAATGGATTGATGAGTATAAATTTTATAGAAATGTTATGTTATCTATACCCAGCTGAGCATCTATGGAAGACATTGGTCCAATAAATCAGACAGTGCCTTCTCCCAACACTTAAACAGGACTCCAGTAGAATTCAGTGGCGCACTAATGTTTTTCTACTGGCACATGATGATCCATCCAGAGGTTGGTGGATGGGATAGGTATCAGATTGGTACTTTGTTCCTATCCTCTAAGTTCGAGCATAATGAATTGGGATACATTATTTATGTTTTGTTTTGTTTTTTCTTTGGGGTTTTTTTTTTTTTTTTTGGAAATGAAAAAAATATCCACTATGAAAAATGTCTGAACCCTTTTGTGTTGACTGTCAAATCATTTTTTATAGCCTATAGCACATTTAAACAACAGTAAATAGAGAGGAACATTTAGAATTCTGAAAAACCAAATTTCAAAATACATGAAAAACTGAAATGTGTGTTTGTTTTATTAAACTCATTAAAATGTGTTCAGAATTTGTCAATTAAGGAGGCTTTATCTCATACAACATGACACTGTTCTCCACTCCGTAAGCTTTAGCTTTAAATCGTGGCTGTCAATATTGGTATCGGCAGTAGTGGCCCTTTATTTACTTGATATTGCATCTAAAAAGTGTAGTACTGCACAGCACTACATTCCGTCACCTCACGAAGAAACTTTGTGTTTTTCCTTTAATTAAATTTGAAAAATTTGAAAAATCAATGCTGCAATTCTTTATGTGACCACACGGGGTCACTGTTGACATTAAAATCTCCTAGGATACATGGCCATTATTGCCGACTCTTTGCCGTAAATAATTCAGAGGACAAAATCAACTTAAACACTGAACTATATATATATATATATATAGATATACATATATATATCTCTATATGTCTTTAAACAACTTCAGAGTTTGAGAATGTTTACTCTTACTGGTCACCGGCTGTTAGATGACATCATGACTGGGCCTGCTACCAATTGCATACGGCTTCTCTTTCGCGCAGTAGTTTCTGGGAAATTGAGTCCGTACTCTAAATAATTCAAGCCCTCGTTCCCTTCTCCTGCACAGCTAACAAGATGCCGGCCGTACATCACAAACTGCTCCTGGAGGACGCTTTACAGGACAGTCCTCAGGTAGGCCTGCGTCTCTTTTCTCATGTTTGCGTACCCGGCTGTCTCATTAAAGGCGTTACGAGCGCCGAAGTTAGCTTAGTCCAGACAGTATCCAGTACCCGTTGTAGTCTGTTTCCACTGGTCGATGACAGTTCTCAATTGTCACATTGTTACAAGAATTGTAATCCCCCTGTGAGCAGTAGCTGCACTTTCCAGTCATTTCTACAGCATGTCACGGTTATCTGTTTTTTGTGTCTCTGTTGTATTTACAAAGCTACCGCCCTTCTTAGGGATTCCATCTCTCTGCCAGAGATGATTTATCTGCTGTACATCTAGACCTGTGTCAGTCACAGCCATAAAGCTCCACCGGACTCGGTGTCCTGCAATCGTTTTATTTTCTAATGCCGTCAAGTTATTTTGATCTAAATTCTGTTCTGTAGCCCTTCTGGGCCTGATTCCCAGGATGTGGGAGGGGTTTCCATTATCGGACTCCCCTGGAATCAGTCAACAGTCTGCAAACAGGGCAGTGTTACTGCAAAAATAAGATGCCAAATTTTTACAGGGTACAAAACGCTTACACTGTGTACAAGTTATTCACCAAGTTCGGCATTCATTTTCATGCATAACCGTGGGTGATGAATTCCGTCCTTGCTACAGCTAATGCATCCTGTTTTCTGTAGTCTGTTGCATCACTCTCTCCTAAAGAGGGCTGACCTCTTCGGAGGTTCTGCTTAAGTGTAGCCCACGCTGGAGGGTCACCGTCTGCTTAGTGGTTTGCTTCCTCAAAACAAGAAATGGACCTGGCATCTTTGTACAGTAACACACATACAGCCAAACGTCATGATGTCTTGTTGGTGTGAAATGAATCATGGTCCTTTTATTGGATAAGTCGGTTTGAGTGAACTATAAACAGACTTCACTCTCTGGGTGTGTTCCGTTCTGCTTGAACTGCCCTACCTTGCTGCACCTGTTTATGGAAAACACTTCACCAGACAGGATTTTGTCTGTTTGCATATCCACCCTGCAGTAAAACACGTATGCCTTTAGTTTAACTAGTTTTAAGTTTTTAAGTTAAGTTTTGCTTGAGTATAATCCGGCTACCCACATTTCTTGAGCTCAGTGACTTGTGTAGATTTTTATCTGACTTAAGGTTAAGACCAGTATTTATCATCGGAAGTACTTGTTTATTTACAGTATATCTGTTCTTCAAAGTTTATTTTTCTTTTTTTTTTCCTCATTGGTCAGAAAACAGTTTTAAAAGTTTCCATTACAATATTCCAGGATGCTGCTGGGTTTTCATATGGGCTTTCATGCAAATCCACCACAACAAAAAAGCCACAGTGATATTTTTCACCTTGTGAAGTAACTGAGATCAGTTATCAGAATATTTAAGTTCTGTAAGTTAGTGGGATAATTGTTGGATAAGGTTTTTCACTTTGTGTTCAGCTATTCATGCCATTATAGTCATCAGAAGAGTCTGTAATGTTTTTGTTTTTTCCCCGTACCCACAGACTCGCTCTTTGCTCAGTGTGTTTGAGGAAGATGTGGGAATGCTTACAGACTACACCAACCAGCTGCTACAATCAATGCAGCGGGTGTTCGGAGCACAGGTACCAAAACAAATTACTGTCAGGCGCATGCTTGCACTCCTTTCCATTTGCTGTTTGGAACAGAGCCACATGTTCAAACACATAATAGGAGATTCCCCCCCCCCCCTTATGTTTGTAGATGAACATGAGTTCTAATTTAACTTGCTGATTCTGGGGTTTTGCATCACTGAACAGCAGCAGAGTGTTGTTTGATTTGATTTAGGATGCCATTTGAGCTACTGTTTTTGATGAGAAACGTACCAAACTGCAACACCATACTCTCAGCCCCACACAGAAAATTTGTCTCCTGTAGAAATGGAGCAGAAAACATTTGATGTACAAGTTTGTTTTTGACCTATATTTACATTGTGGTTTAAACGCTGTGTTATTAATGTAACCCTGGTTCTCTGAGGTATCTCATTATTGAAGGTGCCCTCTGGTGTTTTTGCCAGCTTTTCAACAGATATTGAATCACATTGCACCCAAAAAACGTTTTTTTAAAAATGTTCTCAGTAGGTGGAAAAAAAATGCATGATGTTTGAGCTTGAAGGAGTAATCAGTCCTTTTTAACATGTATTTATTTTCCTTCTTTCGTTCCACCACAGAGTGAGATGGGACTGGCCACAGAGCAGCTCTCAAAGCAACTTTTGGAATACGAAAAGAAAGTAAGTAGGGTTCATATGCTTACTTAATCGTGTGATTCCACAAAAAAGACAGCAGTCTGTGTTATGAGTAGTATCCATGTGGGCTATAGAGACTTTTTTATCATTTTGAAATGAACTTTCTGTCTGTGTGTGAGTTTGCATGTGTCCTTCCTCCTGTGTGCAGCAAAAAAACCCCCACAAATCTGTTAATTCATTTAGAGAAACATATGTGGATAGTTGACCTTTGTTGGTAGACTTTGTTCTGGATTGCAGGGTGAATGTGAACACTTTAAAAAAACAAAAACAGCAGTGATCTGTAACTGCAGAACTTTCTTAGCACTCTTATGATTAAAACTCAGCATCTTGACATTAACTACTGGCTTTATTACCATCTTTGACCTTGTCTGTGTTTTCTACCATGACCCCGATGGCCGAGAACCTACACAGATATCTTTGGCCTTGTTTAATGAAAGGGATGTGCCAGAAATCCTGGCAGAACAGGGCGGTTATTTAAAATGTGTCTCACAGCGAGAAGATTCTGGGTTTGAACCCCAGCTGGGGTCTTTCTAAGCGCAGTCTGCATGTTCTCCTTGTGTCTTCAAGGCTCAGGCTTTCTCTCAAAATCAAAAGACATATGTGTTAGGTGAATTGGCGATTCGATGTAAGGTAGCTAAAGTGCTTAGAGTGTTTTAATGTATGGTTAAATGTGGCTTGTGGTCTAAAGCACTTTGAGTGCTCTATAGGAGCAGAAAAGTGCAATATAAATGCCAGCCCATTCCATTTCCTACACATTAAATAAATCTATGGCAAATTTCACAGTTTCATGGTCTAAACTCACTGCTCTTTCTTTTTTTCTGTCTAGAATTTTGCCCTTGGAAGAGGTGATGAGGAGGTAATCACCACGCTGCAAAACTTCGCCAAAACTGTAGGGGAGGTAAGGCCCGTGCTTGCAGTTTTCTTGCTCTATGAGTATTTCTACGCGGGGTGTGTGCGTGCACAGCAAAAGAGTGAGATGATGAACTATCCCGGAGTCTGTAGTTGCTTTTTTATCATGTTACAAAGGGTATTGCACCTGCGTTCCCCTAGCATGGCAGAGAAAATGAGCTCAATGAAAAGGGCAGAGGACTTTTAAGACTGTGTGACCGGAACTGATTGATCAGTATATCTCACTGGATGGAGGAATACAGGGAAACAGCAGTGGGCGGGTGGATGGATGAGTAGATGATGGAGTGGTGTGCCGGCTCACGTATATAGACAAAACAGATGGGCCTGTCACTGTCAGCCATGGGGGTCCACAAGCCTTGCCCAGTCAGCACTCATGACACACACCCATATGCTCAGAGGACACACGTTGATTGTTTGCTTGACCTTTTACCTTGTCATGCACAGGAAACAAATTTCACACTGAGATTAGGCTTAAACTGCACCTAATCTTGTGAACTTTAGAACTTGCTAAATCGTCATGTGGCTTGTTGATAACCACAGGGAATAATAGCTGAATTTGTCTGATATGCAGCCCTGTTTCCAGTATCAGAGTAAACACTAAGCTTTATTATTCTCTTTATGAAATGTACTCTTCCACAGTATGGCTTTATTATGATGTAGGGGGAGGCATTGTCTGCCACAATGCCCCTATTTCACTGAAAATGCAATTTTCCAGCTTGCTGGCAAGAAATTTTACTGTAAATATTAAACCGAAATCCCTCAAGATGTTTGGGGGAGGCTCATCTTCTGTTTGTGTCCTTGCACGGCGCCTCATATGTGTAATCTGTTTTGTATCGTCCAGCTGAATGCACTCCACTGCGAGCTAGCTAACCAGATGGCTGACAGCATGGTCTTCCCCTTGATCCAGTTCCGAGAGAAAGACCTCACAGGTAGCTTCTGACAGACTTGGATTTTTTTAAAAAGCCCTCCTCATAAAAACATAAGCAAAACCTAGGTGATAATGCATTTTTAAATACCTGTTGTAGATGTAGCTCTAATAATATTTGTCAATTTTGCAGAGATAAGCACACTGAAGGAAATATTTGCCATTGGAACTGATGGTAAGCACATTCTTTTGCCAGTCTGAGAAAAGAAAATGACAGGAAATAGTTACTATCTAATGCTCACGGTCTTTCCTCTGTTCTGTGCAGAGCATGAGGCGGCTATGGTCAAGTACAGTCGATTGCCCAAGAAGAAGGAAAATGAGAAGGTAGAGTAACTGCCAAGTGCTTTCTTAGCTTCTCTTTCTCATTGATCACAAGCTGTAAAACGAGCACGCAACACTGTAATGCTCTCATTAATGCAGTGGGAGTCTTTTAAAAGCATTTGAAGTACAAATGGATTAAACTAAATAATCCTCTGCTGCCGTGCCTCCTCGTGGGAGTATGACTGTAACCACAATACAGTGTATGCATTATAATGGGTGCAAAGATGAGACTCTTTTTGCTATGCTGAACATATCAACGTGTTTTCTTGGATGTACAAGATTGTGCTGCTGTGCTGCTTATTTGCATGTCCCTCTCCTGTCTGAATAGTTGAAGGCAGACTTGGTGAAGGAGGTGGCTTACACCAGAAGAAAGCAGCACCAGGCCTCACTGCAGTATTATTGTGCCCTCAATGCCCTGCAGTATCGCAAGAGAGTAGCTATGCTTGAACCAATGCTAGGCTACACTCAGGCACAGGTACTCAATCACCCCATCCTGTCATCATATCAGCATTCAAATTAAGTGCTTAAAAAAGAGGGAAATGA